CTGTCTAAGTGCCCAGACCGAAGCAGGTGGTCTTCTCAGGGGGCCACACCCAAATCCTTTTACCTTAAGGTCTGATCCACAAGGCAGTGAAGCAACGTCAGGAGATGCAGTCCCATAGTAGCCAGTGACCAACGATTGGTTCATGTGCCATTTGTTCTATCAGGATCCTGGAACCCATGTGAGCCATTGCTTGGAATCAGGGTTTTCCAACTTCTCTATGTGTACTCTCCTTGTCCACCAACCCGGTTAAAGCGCCGGAAATTCGCATTTCATCCTCTCAATTTCGTAAACAACAGTAATGCCACTGTGAGAAGGCATTGAGTAGGACTTCCCTGGCAGAGGCTATATGGTTGAATCTTACTGTTGACGCTTAGTCTTCAGTAATAAGGATAGTAGGTTGATGAACCTGTGTTAATCCTGACAGATTTCCTTCCAGTGAAGGTCCAGCTTCTTTTTGAAAATGTTCACTGATGGTGCTGATACCACTTGTTCTGGTAAAGCGTTCCAGTCATTGACCACTCGATGAGAAAAACGGGACCCCACCTTTAGTTTATTAGATCGCGGTTTCAGAACCTTCTTGCTATGACCCCGGAGATTATTAGTGCTGGAGGGAGCAAAAAGATAAGACATATTAACACCCAGATCATAATTAAAGATACGAAATGCCAGTATAAGGTCACATCGCGTCCTACGATAAGATAAGGGGAAAAGGTTTAGACGTTTTAAACGCTCATCGTAAGGGAGTTTAGAAAGACCCTTAAGGAATGCAAATGACCTCTTCTCATAATGCTTGCAAGTTAAGGAAATATTGAGTCAATCTGCGCAGCATGAACAAATGTCAATAAGAGACCGATCAATTGCAGTCCTAAACAATCAATACAAAAATGAATTAACAATGTACTTTTAAGAAAACCGCTATCAAATTACACATTGAGTTATAATCCGTTTTTATTATGACAAAAACAATAATAAACAATGGTAAGCAAAGATGGATAGTGGCTAGCAGTGGATGATAGCAATTATATGGAAGTATTTATTAATCAATACGGTTAGCATAGACAATAAAGGCTGATTATTTATAACAAATTGGTTTTGTTTCTAAATGGGTGAGATAAATAGGTCACAATTTTTGTCTGATATCATCACATACAAGATATCAATTCTGTCGGTAGTTAGGTCAATAGGCATGTACACATACTAACAATAGTCTGGTAAAAACAAGCTAAAATACGATTTGAAAGCGTGAGTCAATTGAAGCTTATTTATTTATTTATTTATTTAAACACATAAATATTGGTACAAACCAGCACCAGATACATATGCGCCACACAAATCTCATTCGATTTGTGTGAGGGCTGTGATACTGCCCAGGTGCCCAGAATGAAGCAGGTGGTTTTCTTAGGGGGCCACACCCGGAGCCTTTGACCTGAATGTCTGATCCACAAGGCAGTGGAGCATCGTGAGGAGATGCAGTCCCATGGTAGCCGTTGACCAATGACAGGATCATCCGCCATTCGTTCCATCAGGATACTGGAGCCCATGTGCACCATTGGTTTGGAATCAGGGTTTTCCAACTCCCCTAGGTGAACCCTCCGTGTCCACCAACTCGGTTAAAGCGCCGGACATTCGCTTTTCGTCCTCTCAATTTCGTAAACAACATTAATGCCACTGTGAGAAGGCAGTGAGTAGGACTTCCCTGGCAGAGGCTATATATTCGCTGGCCATATGAGAGTATTTCGAAAGGGAGAGGTGACTCTCCCCACTCTCGGCCTGTTGGGGATGTCAAATCCCCAGAACTTACTTGGTAAATGGCTTAGTTTTATAATTTTATCTTGAAAATTTGAATTTAGCTGTTTCCGCGCCAAACGCGCTCTTTTTACCTTCACGTCATATCTCCCACTTGTAAACTGTCTTAAACGCTATTGGTCCATTGTTTCTTTGTGTGTGCTATTTACCAATGATGTTCAAGGACAAATTGTTGTTGTATAAATGCGCTTGACTTTTTCCCTTATTTGATTGCTTGTACTCGGCTGCTTACGGAATACATATATATTCCCCTACTTGCCTTGGACTTCTTCATCTAGTTAGCGGGGCCTGGGACAACAGATTAGAATAGCTTATCGTGTCATTGGCTTTCGTTCGTTACCGAGGAATCGATTTAGTTTCAGGCATAACACGGCCGTACCAGGGCATTTGGGGGCAATTGAAGCTAGACCACCATGGAAAACCTGGAAACATTGGACGGCCGTTTCGTCCTATTATGGGACTCCTCAGGTTTTCCATGGTGGTCTAGCTTCAATTGACTCACGCTTTCAACTATGATAAATACTAAATCTCCACAAAACCCCTTCTGAAAATAGGATTTGTACCTTTTTTTTTTTTAAAAAAAACAAGTCTATCTTGAAGGATGGAACAGACCTTTAAGTAATCATTGTTTTAAGAAATGACTCATTTGAAGATGAACTTGACAATAGTATTTAATGAAAATTCCTATTTTGAAATTTGGTAAATAAAGAAGAGTCAGTAATATAGTAGTTATGTAAGAATTAAGAGAGAAAATACAAAAATGGAAAGAATAAGACAATTGTTTACTAAAGTTCTGCTACAAATTCCGCTATACCGATGACCAAGGTAGTGAGAGTGGTTGTACAAACTTCTTTTGGATACAAAGGTTCTATTTGTGAATATGGATTGAGAAGAAATGAATTGCAAAGGAACGAATCGAGCGAAGAAATTTCTTTGCAATTAGTTTTTCATCATGGCCATTAAATGTAGAACTAGTATTTAAGTTTGCGAGTATTTGGGTTGAGTTTCAAAATAGATGCAATACTTGACAATTAAAGTGCTTGATGAATACTTTTTTTGCAACGTTATGACCCAGTAACAAACCTGGAAGAATGATACATGTCAGATTCTTCCAAGTACAGAATATCTAAGTAAAAGTTTACTCTCTCATTATGATATTTGACTAAATCAGCAAACAAAAATTATTGGTATAACTTCCTAATGAAAAAATAAAGATTTGAAGACAATGGCAAAAAGCGGTTTGCTTTCGTTAAATAAAAATTCGGATGAGTATCCGCCCAAATTTGAACAGCTTGATGAAAGCTAGGCACAGAGCATATGAAAGACATCAAATACAATAGTCGTAATCCATCTTGGTCATATTCCTTAGAAGTTCGGACCAGTTTGCCAGACGAAATGTTGCGATTATTTAAATTTCAATCTGAGATTATTCAAACACCATTTCTACATTTATATACCGACTTTATTAGTTATTTTTGTATAGAGAGGTTATTGAAGCGAGCAGACAGTTTTCGTCCCGAAATAAAATGAGCTGGAGAGAACACTTGACAACTTTTTCCCGTTGAATTAGAGTTCATCATAACAACAATCGAGCCTTCAACTTTTGTGAGAAGCATGATAATATCAATGAATCTTGATTTATTAGTTCAGATAATCACAATTATTAATATACTTCTCATTTTTACGAAGTAAGGGCTATGCTGTTAATTCTTTCCGGAAGACAAATCGTATGTATCTTATTTAATAACAGGTCGTTATGTGACTAACAATTTCGACTTGAATGCACTCAGTAAATCAACCCAAAATACTGAACAGTTGTTTTTGTTCAGTGGAATTGGATTTAATAAATTAGATGTGTATTGAGTAACAAGAGCAGAATTTGATTAAATTTTGCACGTTCCTATTAGGTCTCATACACAGTTGATTATCAGTAAATAAGTTTGATTAGAAATAATAACACGGTAAACAACATTATGTTAATGAGAAAGTTCATGAAAGGATTTAGTGAAGATTGTAATTGAACCACTGTATGTGTGATATGTGACACCCATTTGTCTAGTCTAAATACTTTTTAAACATAATACTAAGTCGAAAAACGACGAAACTCAAATTAATCTTCATCATTTAGTCATACTGGATGAATTTGATAGGAATGTAAGAGCACTTATTCGTTCATGACATAAACGAGTAGTAATTTGAAGACGTAATATTGATCCAGTCAGTCACAACGTAGAACTTCGAACGTACGTGCATCAGTTCGAGTTGCTATACCACATTAACACAGAGATACAGTTGTCCATCCAAATCCCATAGTGGCAGAAGTAGTAAGAGTATAAACAGTAATCCGAAAGATTAGGGTTTGAAGATGTTATTCAAGGAGTATAATCCAATGAGATAAATTTGAAAAGAGAAAGGGATATAGAGAATTTGGGAGAACACAAAGAGTGGATGCAACTTCACCATTGCAAACGATTTTGAGCCATGTCATTCAAGATCCAGAACAACTAGTTGTTCAAATCCGTATAAAATATTCTGGTACAAGATGTGTGCTTTAAAATGTTTAGTCACAGATCCAATTAACTCATTTCAAAGGTCATAAAGATACAGTGAAACCAATCTAAACTTGTTTGTTGAGGTTAACATAGCCGAACAACCATTGGAAATGACGAAGTGCTAGACATTTGTAGAGTGCATTTCTCATCAGTGCACCGGTTTCATAGTGAACACGACAGACTTCAACCATTCTTAATTGTATACATTATTGAAGCCTATTTTTGAGTATTTAACGTCATTCAGTGTCTTTGATTAGTCTCCGCAGGCGAATGGATATTAGGAACACTCAAGATGCAGAAAGTTCTGATCACATGAAACGTCACTCAAGACAGACAGATGGAAATCTCACAGAAAGTTAAATAGCATCTTACAATAATCCTTAACGCGCGCGAAATACGTCACATTCAGTATCACAAAGTGCCTTGATGTATTGGATAATCAACTTAATATCACGTTTGATTGCCGTATTCGAAACGCCACTACATTCCGACCCAGGCCACTAACCAATGACACAGAACCCTAATCCTCGAAACGACTGAACGAATAAAACTGCAACTTTATGGTTGGATACGCATATGAAAATACTCGTTTAGTATCAATACTACGGCAAACCCCGACACTTGTAAGAAAAAATATACAAATTACTGAGGTGTAAAAAAATATATTTTAAGTAGTAGTTAAATAACATTAAAATCCGCCATCATCAGAGTGTGCATCTACAGTATCCGAAGCAACTTCCTCGTAATCTCTTTCTAGAGCAGCCAGGTCCTCACGAGCTTCTGAGAACTCGCCTTCCTCCATACCTTCGCCAACATACCAATGAACGAATGCGCGTTTAGCATACATGAGATCAAACTTCCGATTCAAACGAGCCCAGGCCTCCGAAATCGCAGTAGTATTACTAAGCATACACACTGCACGCTGTACCTTTGCCAAATCTCCCCCAGGAACAACAGTCGGTGGTTGATAGTTAATACCAACTTTAAAGCCAGTGGGACACCAATCAACAAACTGAATTGATCTTCTAGTTTTGATATTTGCAATTGCTGCATTTACGTCTTTAGGAACAACGTCACCTCGGTATAACAAACAACAAGCCATATATTTTCCATTTCTTGGGTCACATTTAACCATTTGATTAGCAGGTTCAAAACACGAATTTGTAATTTCTGAAACACTCAGTTGTTCATGGAATGCCTTTTCTGCTGATATAATGGGTGCATATGTTGTTAATGGAAAGTGGATACGGGGATATGGAACCAAATTGGTTTGAAACTCGTTCAAATCTACGTTCAAAGCACCACTGAATCGGAGAGAAGCAGTAATGGAGCTAACAATTTGTCCGATTAACCGGTTAAGATTGCTGTATGTTGGTCGATCAATGGTCAAATTTCGACGACATATCTCATAAATAGCTTCATTATCAACCATGAAAGCACAATCTGAATGTTCTAGTGTTGTATGTGTGGTAAGAATAGAGTTGTAAGGTTCAACAACAGCTGTTGAGATATGAGGAGCTGGATATACAGCGAACTCCAGCTTAGCTTTTTTACCGAAGTCAACCGAAAGACGTTCCATCAATAGAGATGTAAAACCAGATCCCGTACCTCCACCAAATGAATGGAACACTAAGAAACCTTGGAGTCCTGTGCACCTTTCAGATAATTTCCGAATACGATCTAGAACCTGATCGACCAACTCTTTGCCAACTGTGTAGTGGCCACGGGCATAATTATTAGCAGCATCTTCTTTTCCGCTTATCATTTGTTCAGGATGGAACAACTGCTTATAAGAGCCTGTTCTCAGTCTGTCAATAACTGAAGGTTCCAAGTCTACGAAAACAGCACGTGGGACATAACGACCGTAGCTAGTCTCGCTGAAGAACGTACTGAAAGAATCGTTATCGTTTTTAATAGTTGAGTCACTAGGGACCTTGCCATCAGGTTGTATTCCATGTTCGAGGCAGTAGAGCTCCCAACAAGAATCGCCCATCTGGGTTCCGGCTTGACCAACATGTAGACTGATACATTCGCGCTAAGAAAGGAATATATGTATAAGTATAGAGATAACCATTTCAGGAAATAAACGTATGCAAGAAACAATATTTATCCGCTGATATAAAACATATTGTTAAAAGTAAGTAATTGATTTACTGTGACCCAGTCCATGTTGTTGATAATGAAGACTCATACAATGAAATAGGAACAATGTTAAAAATAGTTAATTCTATTTATTCATTTGAATTTAACTTAGTTACATGATGACTCATATTCGATGTTAAAAAATCAAACAGCATGCTCCAACTGTAATGCAGCTTAAATAAGGTGCAAGTACGTGATTGCTTTATGCTACTAGCAGAAACATGAGTGGGACGAGTAAACTGGATCTAGTGAATACTTATGTGGCGAAATAAAATCCATTTTAGTTGTATGAAGATCACAACGTTGTTCACCATGGAATAATTGAATACAACAACGTTTTACATATTAAATACACTCACTTCATGCTATAAATTATTAAATGACCCACCATGGTTGCAAAGCGTCCCGAACGATTCTCCCGTTTAACTGTAATGCCGGCCTTCGTTCAAGTATTTAGCTGAATAAAATGGAAGAATCAAGCTCCCTGATTGGTTATAATGACAATCACTCAATTTTTCAGGGCAGACAGACTAGATCGATTGACATAATAAATTCATCACCCCTACCTAGTCTTAATTTGGATTGGTAAACATCACAAAGCAAAATAGATCATGGTCTGATCTGTAACTTGACCTCTTGAAAGTGTTCACGAAACGACATGTAAGATGAGACTTCATTGTGGTTAGCACACAAAAAATTTGATAATGTTGACCTTGTATAGGAATTAGATTTTTCAATGTGAAGCCTAATCATATAAGCAGTTTTTAGTAATAATTTAATGATTGTTTTTTTTCGATGTTGAAATTATGAGCCAATTGAAGTTAGACCACCATGGAAAACCTGGAAGCACTGGACGGCCGTTTCGTTCTATTATGGGTCCTGGGTTCGAATCTCGCGAGTGCGGGATCGTGGATGCTCACTGTTGAGGATTCCCACAATAGGACGAAACGGCCGTCCAGTGCTTCCAGGTTTTCGATGGTGGTCTAGCTTCAATTGACTCATGATTTCAACTTTGAAAAATACTGAAATCTACACAAAACCCCTTCTGATTGTTTTTTACCAAGTGACAAGTTTCCCAAAGCACAGGATCTAAGTATTTTAGTCTAATAATTTAATAAAAAGACCATGTCCATGGGATTTTCAAATTCTGGTTATACACACTAAAAATATCCTGATGAAAGATTCAACAACACATCTACATTCAAATATATTATAGTCATTTACTAAACTTCCCCTAAACATGACAATTTAAAATTTTAGATCAGAGGGGGTTTTGTGGAGACTGGAGATTGGTTGAAGTTAGACATCAACACCGTTGGATGCTGGCTCAGTGGTCTATCGGTTAAGGGCTTCGGCTCGAGAGTGGTAGGTCCTGGGTTCGAGTCTCGCGAGTGCGGGATCGTGGATGCTCACTGTTGAGGGTTCCCACAATAGGACAAAACGGCCGTCCAGTGCTTCCAGGTTTTCGATGGTGGTCTAGCTTCAATTGACTCATGATTTCAACTGTGAAAATTTAAAATTTGTTATGATGCGTTATTTTCCAATGAAATTCTTAATAAATTTGAGGAAAATATTTCAGAAGAATCCAATCTTGATGTCATACCAAATGTTATTTTTCCTCATCATGCATTTCTTTCTAGTGGGAAACTTACTCAATTTATTTAGTTGAACACATAAATATTGGTACAAAGGGGCACCGAATATGTATGCGCCACACAAGTCACTTGATTTGTGTGAGGACTGTGATACTGTCTAAGTGCCCAGACCGAAGCAGGTGGTCTTCTCAGGGGGCCACACCCAAATCCTTTTACCTTAAGGTCTGATCCACAAGGCAGTGAAGCAACGTCAGGAGATGCAGTCCCATAGTAGCCAGTGACCAACGATTGGTTCATGTGCCATTTGTTCTATCAGGATCCTGGAACCCATGTGAGCCATTGCTTGGAATCAGGGTTTTCCAACTTCTCTATGTGTACTTTCCTTGTCCACCAACCCGGTTAAGGCGCCGGAAATTCGCTTTTCGTCCTCTCAATTTCGTAAACAACAGCCGTGCCGCAAGAAGGCAGTGAGTGGGACTTCCCTGGCAGTGGTTGTATTCGCGTGGCCGTTTGAGAGAGAGCTGACTCTCCCCACTCTCGGTCGTACTAAGGCATTTGGAGTATCTTGTTCGATATGAAAGACGAGTCCTAAAATGAGCTCGAACTTGATTACAATTCGGATGATTTCTTACCAACTTCTAACGGACCCTCTAGTCAATATCAGAAACATGTTTTAAATGAAGCTACATCATTTATAACTTGGGGATATAAAAATCCAACAATGGTTCAAGCTATAGATAAGTGTTTTCAGTAAACAACCGACATGTTGATGATATACAATGCCAGGACACAGGTGAGTCCGTTACAATTTCAGTTATTGATTCTAATACTAATGAGCATATTCTAGTTCAGACCGAGGCTGTATCCAATACACAGTCTGACAGACAGATTGAACCTAAGGAGACGTTCAATTGACCACAGAAACTTAGATTCCAATTTAAGCTGTAGCGGTTGTGGTGTTTGTACGAACTAATGATTCTCTTGTATTTGAGGTAGGCGTGACTTTTAATTTTAAATACAATACGTTTGTTTGTTCTCACTTAGTTCTACCTGACTTAAATTACGTTATTACGGAGATTCCTAGTTAATACAATAATCCGAATACTTCTAATCATCACAAACAAATACAACTAACTTTGTGTTATTATAAAATATGTTAATCAAAACATCCGGTCATACCATAAATAAATGAAGTCAAACCTAATTTAAAATGAAGTCCCCGATCTCCACGTGACTATGAAATACACTTTCCATTCACTATCTTTATTCGCTGATTTGAATTTGCTTCTGCTATTCTCAGTAATTCACTTTCAACGACAGATTATTAATTTGGATACAGTCGTTATTATTATTTAAAACTGTAAAATCAGTTTTGATGTTTGTTGTTCCTAGTGAAACAATTGATACGAAGTTGAACTGAATTGCTACCCCTCTTTCCCGCCAAAAATGTCACTCCACCAACAATCAAAAAAGTCTAGATGGCCATCAGACAAATCAAGAGTGGGAAAGCGGCAGGACCTGACATTATACCAGCTGAAGTACTGAAGTCAGACATTGAAGTAACTGCAAACATGCTTCACTTTCTATTCAAGAAGATTTGGGAAGAGGAACAAGTGCCAACGGATTGGAAAGAAGAATACCTAATCAAGATACGGAAAAAAGGAGATCTGAGCAAATGTGAGAACTACAGAGGCATCAGTTTGTTGTCAGTACCAGAAAAGTTTCCAGCAGAGTGTTGTTGAACCGGATGAAAGACGCAGTAGACGCCCAACTCCTAGACCAACAGGCTGGATTCCGTAAGGATCGGTCGTGCACACACCAAATTGCGACACTACGGATCATCCTTGAACAATTAATCGAATGGAATTCGTCACTATACATCAACTTCATTGACTATGAGAAGGCGTCTGTCAGTGTGGACAGGAGAACATTATGGAAACTCGTTTGACACTGATGTACCTAGGAAGATCTTCAACATTATCCGGAACTCATACGACGGACTACAGTACAAAGTGGTGCATGGAGAACAGCTGACAGATGCATTTCCAGTAAAGACCGGAGACAGACAAGGCTGTCTACTCTCCCCCTTCCTCTTCTGGTGTTTGACAGGTTTATGAAAACCTCGACATCTGAGGGGAAGCACAGAATACTACGGACATCTCAGAACCAAATAGACGATTTGGACTTCTCAGATGACCTAGCCCTCCTATCTCTTACACACGAACAAATACAGACGAAGACAGCAAATGTAGCAGCAGCCTCTGCATCACTAGGTCTCAACATACATAAAGGAAAAGGCAAGATTCTCAAATACTAAACGGAGAACACCAACCCAATCACATTTGATGGCGAAACTCTGGAAGAGGTGGAAACATTCACGTGCCTGAGAAGCATCATTGATAAATAAGGAGGATCTGATGCAGATGAGATTTAAAGGCGAGGATTGGCAAAGCAAGGACCGCATTTCTACAATTGAAGAACATATGGAACCCAAAACAACTGTCAACTAACTTCAAAGTGAAAATCTCCAATACGAACCTAAAGACAGTTCTACTGTACGGAGTTGAAACGTGGAGAACTACTACATCCATCGTCAAGAAGGTAAACGTATTTATTAACAGTTGTCTACGCAAAATACTCAACATTCACTGGCCGGATACTCGACGAGGTGTGACAAGAGTAAGTAAGTTTCCCACCAACAACAATCTAAAAGATTGAGAGAAAAATGAAATCTCTACGAGAATAATAAATCTGTTCGAATTCGAAGGCTAATTGCTTGATAAGTCATAAAACTGAAAACCTGAATATAATGTATGCTCAGGAGTTTATGTTTTAAAAATTAATTAAAGAGCTTACGGAAATGAAACAGAATAATGGACATAAAGATATCATAAGTATTTGGAGTTTGATAACATCATAGCCAGTAACACCTGTACTCAATACGTGCAAACCCAGTGAAATCGGAAGTGAAGAGGATCAAAGATATATTTATTATTATTATTAGCTTTATTCAATATAATATTTTTGGTACAATAAAGAATTCTCAGCACAATGTATTTCAATAGGTTTCTGTTTCTTTCTTCTTGATCGATCGTGACGACAAATATTAAGTGATCGCCATTTAGAAGTCCTGTCAATCGATATCTAAATAATGTACATTCTTTTCGCTGCATATTGCCAGCAGCCACGATATCTCTGATTGGGCCTTTGTAACTTGTACAAAGAAAAATTGTACACTTTTCAGAAACGTACCTGAAGAGGTTATGAGATTAATAGCCATAATGATGTATTAAAACAAACAAAACTTGTTGAAATATCTAGATAGCAGAAACAGGCAGCCCATATGTTCGCACAGGCCGCTTTTGATAAGTTATCAATATATCGGGAAGTGACTGATCGAAACTCCCTTGCGGTTGTAGGAGAAGTAGAGCACATACACCCACTAGTGATCTGGTGCGGATGCGTGATCGGTAGCCTTCAGTTAGGTGAGTTCATTAAAACTAATGTGGTCAGCATCAAATGTCGAAGATTTACAGATCCACTGATTTTTGGGGATTTATTTGCCGCTACAGACATTTCCATTCGTATATTTGGGCTTTAACGAGGTATTTTACACTTCAAGTAATTTGGGTGTGGAATTTGATTAGGATCTTGTAACAGTGCTGTTTGGAAAAGAATGATATGCATATTCGGTATACATTTCTAGACCAAACTTCTGATTTTACTTTTGCTTCAAAATCGGTATTAATCTGTTTTGCTAGTGCTAACTCTGAGTGATAGATAACAAACTGACTCTACTCCTATAATCCATGAAGAAAATAGTACTCTATTCATCGAGGGAAGCATACAACTCTTCATTAACCGAGATTGGCGTATCTCAAACTGTCTGTTTTCCATTCACTTATTTAAAGTCATCAATCAACTTCATAAAACAACATAAAACAACTAAATGCATATGTCAGAATTTCATACTCAATTCTATTGAAATGAATAGCTGAAATACTACGAATATGATGGTCTATATCTAAGAACCTTACACAAATGCTTCTGAATGTGGAAATCTTGAATTGAGCCGAACATACAAAATTAGCATATACAAATATCAGAAAGCGTCACTACAAAGATATAAAACAACAACAAGAAAATACCCTGCGAAATTCAACATTCAAACCATCTGCAAACACATCTACGCAACTCAACTCCTACTACTACTACAATGACAATATGACGAATGATGTTAGTGATGGTTGATGAGTATGGGGAG